AACCATACACCAACACATCAACATCTAAAACCATACACTTATACCATCATCGTAAAACATACACCAATACCATCATCGTAAACCATATGCCAACACCATTATCTGAAACCATGCTACAACACCATTATCTGAAACCAAACACCAACTTCAGTAGGGATACAGGCTGATATAGATCAGTTGTCTGAGGATTTCTACTTGTTAAACTTCAGTAGGGATACAGGCTGATATAGATCAGTTGTCTGAAGATCTCTACTTGTCAAACTTCAGTAGGGATACAGGCTGATATAGATTAGTTGTCTGAAGATCTCTACTTGTCAAACTTCAGTAGGGACACAGGCTGATATAGATCAGTTGTCTGAAGATCTCTACTTGTCAAACTTCAGTAGGGATACAGGCTGATATAGATCAGTTGTCTGAAGATCTCTACTTGTCAAACTTCAGTAGGGACACAGGCTGATATAGATCAGTTTTCTGAGGATTTCTACTTGTTAAACTTCAGTAGGGACACAGGCTGATATAGATCAGTTGTCTGAAGATCTCTACTTGTCAAACTTCAGTAGGGATACAGGCTGATATAGATCAGTTGTCTGAAGATTTCTACTTGTTCAACTTCAGTAGGGACACAGGCTGATATAGATCAGTTGTCTGAAGATCTCTATTTGTCCAACTTCAGTAGGGACACAGGCTGATATAGATCAGTTGTCTGAAAGCTGAAATAGTCCAGTTGAAGATATGCCTACTTTCCTGACCAAAGATATTGTTGATTTAAACATAACCAAAATTTCATATAATAATGACATAAACTTTTACCTCTATGGCGTTCACAAACCATATTTAGATAAGATAGATAATATAAGTGTATCATTAAAATCAGATAAAAAAAAAACCTCTATTGTGTCCACAAACAAATGTTGACGCATATTTCCTAAGTCAAGGGCAATAACTCAAAAACTATTCTAAAAACTAAACTAAAAAAATTGTCGAATTCAAACTTGACCAAGATCTCAGCAATAGTTCTTTTAAATCTGATAAAAAAACGAAGTCTCTATTGTGTTCACAAGCCGATTCACGAACAGACCGACGACAATATACGAACACATTATATCGTGGGCGTATAAAAAGTGAAAAACCGAAGGAATTATGCAATTCTAGTACTTCTGAAGACTACTTAATAATTCATGGACCATATCAACTCCCCGAAAATGCCGAATCTGTCCCTTAAAAGATGGTATTAATATGTCCGACTTACCGTATTGTTTCTCACTCTCTGACCAGATAGATGATTGAGATGTTTTGAGAACATGGGGAGTTATATCAAAACCTGAAAATACCAACAGATTGAAAACAAGTTTCAACAAAATTCCACATAAAGATAGACGAGGTGCTGTGTAGGAAGTGGTTTAAGTGCGACAAGGTCTGGTGTACGACGAGCTGTTGTGTCCAGAATAATGTGGCGTACGACGAGCTGTTGTGTCCAGAATAGTGTGGTGTACGACGAGCTGTTGTGTCCAGAATAGTGTGGTGTACGACAAGCTGTTGTGTCCAGAATAGTGTGGTGTACGACGAGCTGTTGTGTCCAGAATGGTGTGGTGTATGACGAGCTGTTGTGTCCAGAATGGTGTGGTGTACGACGAGCCGTTGTGTCCAGAATAGTGTGGTGTCCGACAAGCTGTTGTGTCCAGAATAGTGTGGTGTACGACAAGCCGTTGTGTCCAGAATGGTGTGGTGTACGACGAGCTGTTGTGTCCAGAATGGTGTGGTGTACGACGAGCCGTTGTGTCCAGAATGGTGTGGTGTGCGACGAGCCGTTGTGTCCAGAATGGTGTGGTGTTCGACGAAGTGTGGTGTCCAGAATGGTGCGATGTACGACGAGCTGTTATGTCCAGAATGGTGTTGTGTACGACGAAGTGTGGTGTACGACGAGCTGTTGTGTCCAGAATAGTGTGGTGTACGACGAGCTGTTGTGTCCAGAATGGTGTGGTGTACGACGAGCCGTTGTGTCCAGAATAGTGTTGTGTTCGACAAGCTGTTGTGTCCAGAATAGTGTGGTGTACGACAAGCCGTTGTGTCCAGAATGGTGTGGTGTACGACGAGCCGTTGTGTCCAGAATGGTGTGGTGTTCGACGAAGTGTGGTGTCCAGAATGGTGCGATGTACGACGAGCTGTTGTGTCCAGAATGGTGTTGTGTACGACGAAGTGTGGTGTCCAGAATGGTGCCGTGTACGACGAAGTCTGGTGTCCAGAATGTTGCGGTGTACGACGAGCTGCTGTGTCCAGAATGGTGAGGTGTACGACGGGATGTTGTGTCCAGAATGGTGCGGTGTACGACGAAGCGAGGTGTCCAGAATGGTGCGGTGTACGACGAAGAGTGATGTCCAGAATGGTGCGGTGTACGACGAAGTGTGGTGTCCAGTATGGTGTGGTGTACGACGAGCTGTTGTGTCCAGAATGGTGCGGTATACGACGAGGTGTGGTGTCAAGAATGGTGCAGTGTACGACGAGGTGTGGTGTCCAGAATGGTGCGGTGTACGACGAGGTGTGGTGTCCAGAATGGTGCGGTGTACGACGAGGTGTGGTTTCCAGAATGGTGTAGTGTACGACCAGGTGTGTTGTCCATAGTGTTGCGGTGTCTGGTTCGTACACGACCTAGGTTTAAATCTTTTCCGATAACAAGTTTCAGATTCTGTTTTACTATTTTTACTCAGAGAGTTGTCTGAAGATCGTACAGCGTGAAACTCCGAGTTACAACATGTTTCAGGTTCTGTTTAAAAATGATATTTCTTTATACTTACTTCTATAAAACATACCAATACTTCCAAAAAACACTCCAATTACGAACAATAAACCATACATACATACACTAAATTTTCTTTTGGTGAGATCCATTTTTACCATTCATTGCTGATTCATCTAACTGATTTCTTTATCTCTGAACTGTTTATATCTACAATAATCTAATAAAATAACGACTACATCTGTGTTCATGTACAGATAAAGGCGGCGCCTCCCGAGACTGGGGTTCTACCAATAAATTGTCGACATATTGAATTGATTTGGTGCATTCTGACAGATACTTCGGGGCAAAAAGATATAATAATATATTTCTAAATTTTATTATATTTGTAAAAAAAATAAAGTGAAGGTATATTTAGGTGTGCAAGCCATTTTTCTAGGAAGGGTGTCTACCTCTGCCCCATCTTAATCCCAATAGCGCCGACATTGTGTAAAATATTTTAATGCATTTGTTTTAAAATAAATTTATTTTCATAAAATTGATTTTAAATCTATATGCATTTATAAAAGCCACTGTATTTCCTTTCTAACATGTGTGTTGTGTATTTTAAACTCCCGTGGAATCAATAAACTATAAATCAGTAGCTACGCAATAAGTAGAAATTTCATACCCTACTTTTTAGTTTTCAGTTTCTGAATGCCTTACGCCATATTTTCTCTGATGTCGACATGGGGGTAGTTTTCGATCCAAACTTCACCGTTATTCCTATTATGTTGGCGAAAACCCAGTGTGCATAGACTCCACTTATTTATATAAGAAGTCGTGTTAGTTAACGGTCTAGTTGTGTGTAAGTTGACGGTCTAGTCGTGTGTAAGTTAACGGTCTAGTTGTATGTAAGTTAACGGTCTAGTCGTATGTAAGTTAACAATCTAGTCGTGTGTAAGTTAACGGGGTCTAGTCGTGTGTAAGTTTACGGTCTAGTTGTGTGTAAGTTAACGGTCTAGTCGTGTGTAAGTTAACGGTCTAGTCGTATGTAAGTTGACGGTCTAGTCGTGTGTAAGTTAACGGTCTAGTCGTCTGTAAGTTAACGGTCTAGTCGTGTGTAAGTTAACGGTCTAGTTATGTGTAAGTCGTATTAAGTTGAAGGTCTAGTCGTGTGTAAGTTGACGGTCTAGTCATGTGTAAGTTAACGGTCTAGACGTATGTAAGTTGACGGTCTAGTCGTGTGTAAGTTAACGGTCTAGTCGTGTGTAAGTTAACGGTCTAGACGTATGTAAGTTGACGGTCAAGTTGTGTGTAAGTTAACGGTCTAGTCGTGTGTAAGTTAACGGTCTAGTTGTGTGTAAGTTAACGGTCTAGTTGTGTGTAAGTTAACGGTCTAGTTGTATGTAAGTTAACGGTCTAGTTGTGTGTTAGTTAACGGTCTAGTCGTGTGTAAGTTAACGGTCTAGTTGTGTGTAAGTTAACGGTCTAGTTGTGTGTAAGTTAACCGTCTAGTCGTGTGTAAGTTAACGGTCTAGTTGTGTGTTTGTTGACGGTCTAGTCGTGTGTAAGTTAACGGTCTAGTTGTGTGTAAGTTAACGGTCTAGACGTATGTAAGTTAACGGTCTAGTTGTGTGTAAGTTAACGGTCTAGACGTATGTAAGTTAACGGTCTAGTTGTGTGTAAGTTAACGGTCTAGTCGTGTGTAAGTTAACGGTCTAGTTGTGTGTAAGTTAACGGTCTAGTTAGTCTCCGCGGCGTCGCGCAACTGATGGAAGACGCCTTGCAGACCTTCTGGAGATTAACCGGGTCTGGGGGGAGTCGCGGGGTTTTCGAACATGTTCAGCGAAGATTCGAGTCCTCATCTAGTTTCACAATATCTCAAAAAAAGAAAACACGAAATAGTAATCTAATTTACTACTATATAATTTACCGCAATATGATGTACAACAATAGAATTCGTTACCACAATAGAATTTGTTACCACAATAGAATTCGTTACCACAATAGAATTCGTTACCACAATAGAATTCGTTACCACAATAGAATTTGTTACCACAAAAGAATTCGTTACCACAATAGAATGTGTTAACACAATAGAATTTATCAAAATAGATTTGACCACAATGTACCACAATATGATTTACCACATGACAATATAGATTACCACAATATAGTTAACCACAATAGAGATTACCACAATATAGTTTACCACAATATAGTTTATCACAATAGAATGTGTTACCAAACTAGAATTCGTTGCCAAAATAGAATTTTTCATAATAGAATTTACCACAATAGAAATTACCACATAAGAATTTACCACAATAGAATTTACTGCAATAGAATTTACCACAATAGAATTTACCACAATATAATTTATCACAATAATAAGCATGTTAACCACATTATAACATTGAAACTCCATGGCAGACCAGTAACCAGTAGATTGTTTGGAGAGGCAAGTAATATATCCAGAAAAATAGAATTGATCGGTTGTCAGAATTTGTTCAGGGAGGCACTCCTATACCTGTTCCATGGGTTGTTATTAAATAAGAGACAGTAGAAAAATACTGGCCTCAAATTACCACGTTTCATTTCACTGGTATTTTTCACTGTATGCGAGTAGCCAGCGAACTGGTGTCTTTTAAAACGCTTGAGTTGGTCACTGGTAAATAACCAATCAATGGATAAGCATTCTTACATTCAACATCAATCTGTTTTATTTCATCGTATTTTAAATCTCTTTTCCATCTGTTGGCGGTGGAGGTGGAATTACTTCTAGCTACCCCGTAATAATCTTCTGCTAAAGTGCCCGCTGCCGTTATATGGAAGATGTACCCGTAAATTTCCAGCGTTATGCTTAAGTCCATGAAGGTGAAAAGTCTTGTCGTAGTGGAATAGGGGTTTTCCGCTAAATCCTCATAATGCAGAACAGTCACTCTGTTGGGATATTCCTTCGACAATTTGAACGTGTTGTTCATATCAACCGCCATTCTTTGGCACAAGTACTGAGCATTTGTGTGCTCAAGTTTCATCCTAGAATTCATGACCCCTCTTGGATCTCGAATTAAATGGATCATTTTAAAGTTAGGAAATTTTTTGAAATATTCTTTTATGTTCTCGACGTCAACGCGTATAGTTTTAATAACCCGTAATTTAGATTGTTTACAGTCTTTTATTAGTTTCGGCAAACATTTTAACATTTTGGATTTTAGCTTCGTTTTTCCTACACATTGATAAAATTCATTAGTGTGAATTCCGTGTCTCATGAATACATGGTTAAGCGATGAATTATCTATATTATACAGATCGCAATTATACCAGCGTTCAAGCACCTTTAAACTCTCTGTTACAATAGTTTCATTTGTAAAGTTTCTGAAATTATATGGTGAAAATATGACTGTTAATATATTTCTAAATTAATCGATTTCGGGGAAGGGAGGGTTTGAATGGAACAAATACTTCATCTAAAACAATGGAATAAAGTATCTGGAATTGTTGTGTATTATTTTGTTCTAATCTGAAATTAGATGAAATAATAAGCCACTCATTGGGCGAGAGGTTATATTGTTACATACTAATGGACTTTAGTTTGCTATGAACAATATTGTCATGTAAGTTCTGATTGTTTTAATATGCGACAATCATCTTTTGTTTAAGACATTTTGCAGACTCTCATAATGGACATGAACTATCTTACTTTAATTGATAGCTGGTGGTATTACACGAGCCAACAAAGAGTTCTTAGTCTGTATTATAATCCGTCTGTGTTGCTGTACTGACAGATCAATTACTATAGGATTCACATGTTAGATGCTCGTAGATCTGGTACCGTTTCTTCGTTGAGTTACATATAACTTGTGATAGTTTTCACAACAGATATCAGAGTCTGGTATAGAGACAGACGTTTCGGACTAAGAGTACATTAAGAAGAAAAATGATATTATTACCTGTGTGTGCCGTTCAGATATGTTGAGGATTTGTACTGAAAAAGAGATATTAATGGTTCGAAGGAATAAAAAGCATCATGGTGATGTTGTATAACGTCTGCGGTAAAAGAAGATCCACTGCGCATGTAGGTCAATATCAGAATAAACTGGACGGAGGAGGAGGACTCGGGAGAGGATGTAAAATCCATCAAATCATTATTCTGGAATCGAACTGAAATATATAAAGAAATGAATGATGGATTGGACAAGTGAATGAATAAATTGATAAATGGAAAGATATTGTTGATTTAAAATTTCATGTTATAATGACATAAACTTTTACCTCTATGGCGTTCACAAACCATATTTAGATAAGATAGATAATATAAGTGTATCATTAAAATCAGATAAAAAGCCTCTATTGTGTCCACAAACAAATTTTGACGCG